TCTCTCAAAAATAAATAAACATTAAAAAAAAATTTTTTTAATATGCCTACAAAACGCTGATGTAAAATATCAAAAAACAAAACTAAACTAAATAAGTGGAGAGATGGTCCATGTTCATCAATATTAAGATGTCCATTCTTGGGGCGCCTGGGTGGCTCAGTCGGTTAAGCGTCCGACTTCAGCTCAGGTCATGATCTCACGGTCCATGAGTTCGAGCCCCACGTTGGGCTCTGTGCTGACAGCTCAGAGCCTGGAGCCTGTTTCAGATTCTGTGTCTCCCTCTCTCTCTGCCCCTCCCCTGTTCATGCTCTGTCTCTCTCTGTCTCAAAAATAAATAAACGTTAAAAAAAAAAAAAAGATGTCCATTCTTCTCAACTTGATCTACAGATTCACTGCAAAGTTTTGATTTTAAAGTTTACATGAAACACAGAAAGGCCCAGAATGGGCAACATGATGCTGAAAAAGAACAAAATTGGAGAACTGACACTACCTAACTTCAATACTTACTGCAAAGTTACAGTAATCAAGACAGTGTAGGGGCACCTGGGTAGCTCAGTCGGTTAAGCGTGGGACTCTTGATTTCAGCTCAGGTCATGACCTCACCATTCATGAGACTGAGCTCTGCATCGGGCTGTGCAATGACAGCGCAGAGCCTGCTTGGGATCCTCTCTCTCTCTCTCTCTCTCTCTCTCTCTCTCTCTCTTCCTCTCTCCCTCTCTCTCTCTCCCTCTCCCTCTGCCCCTACCCTGTTCGTGCTCCCTCTCTCTCTTTCTCTCTCCCTCTCTCTCTCTCTCTCCCTCTGCCCCTACCCTATTTGTGCTCTCTCTCTCAAGATAAATAAACTTAAAAAAAAAAAAAAAGAGTGTGCTACTGGCAAAAGAATAGACAAACAGAACGACAGAACAGATTACTAAGCCCAGAAAAAGACCCACACGAATAGAGTCAACTGCTCTTTAACAAAAGAGCAAAGGCAATTCAACAGACAGAGGATAGTCTTCTTAAAAATGGTGACAGAATAATTGGGCATCCATATGCAAAAAGATAAATCTAGACACAAACCTTCCATCATTTACAAAAACTAACTCAAAATGGATCATAGACTTCAATGTAAAATGCAGAACTCTAAAACTCCTAGAGGGGTGCCTGGCTGGCTCAGTTGGTAAAACATGAGACTCTTGATCTTGGTATTGTGTGTGCAAGCCCCATGTTGGTGTAGAGATTACCTAAAAATAAAATATTTTAAAAAAATGTTAAAATAGTTTTAATATAGTAAAAATATAACATAGGAGAAAAATCTTTGTGGACTTAGATTAAGCAATGATTTTTTTAGATACAATACCAAAAGCACAATCCATGAAAGAAAAAAAATTGATAGGTTGATTTCATTAAAATTAAAACATCGAAAGAAAAAAAATTGATAGGTTGGATTTCATTAAAATTAAAACATCTGCTGTGCCCAAGACACTATTCAGAGAATAAAAAGATAAGCCACAGACTGGGAGAAATATTTGCAAAACACACATCTGATAAAGGACAGGTAGCTAAAATATACAAAGAACTTTAAAACACAACCCAATTAAAAATGAGCAAAGTTGGGGCACCTGGGTGGCTCAACTGGTTAAGTATCTGACTCTTGGATTTGGCTCAGGTCATGGTCTCACAGATCCTGGGACCAAGCCCCATGTGGATCTCAAAAGAGATATATAGATAACAAATAAGCATAAGAGGAGGTGCTCAACATCATAATCATTTGGGAACTGTAAATTCAAATGATAAGATACCACTATGCACCTATTAGAATGACTAAAATCCAAAAAACTGACAAAACCAAATCCTACAAAAAAAAAATCTATGTATATATGTTTATAGTAACTTTCTACATCATTGTCAAAAACTGGAGACAACCGAGACATCGTTCAATAGGTGAATGGATAAACAAAATGTGGTACATCCATATAATGGAATACTATTCAGTAGTACAAAGAAATGAGCTATCAAACCACAGAAGTACATAGAGGAACCACAATTGCATAGTGCTAAGTGAAAGAAACCGGTCTGAAAGATATGACCTCTTGTCAACCATACGACATTCTGGAAAAGGCAAAACTACATCAACAATCAAAATATCAGTGGTTGCCAGGAGGAGGAAGGGAAGGATGCGCAGGTGGAACACGGGATTTTTAGAGTAGTGAAATCATTCTAAATGATACTGTAACGGTTGACACATGTCTTCACATCTGCCAAAACCCATAGAACTGTACAACGTAAAGAGTGAAATCTAACATTGGGGCGCCTGGCTGGCTCAGTCCACGGAGCGTGGAACTCTTGATCTCCAGGTTGCGAGTTCAAGCTCCACATTGGGTGTAGAGATTAGATTACTTACTAATAAAATCCTAAAAAAAAAAAAGAGTGATCCCTAATATAAACAGTCTTTAAAACAACAAAATAGTAAAAAACAACAAAAATAGTTAAACAGCAAAAAAAAAGAGTATATATTACCCATATATAGTAACCACACAAGTCCAATAGCTTCCTTGCTGTTGTATCCAACTTTTGTAAACAAATAACAAGTAACATTTATGTTTCTCTCATGCCAGTCTCTATGCTAAGCACTTTACATGTGTCATGTCATTTAATCCTTACAAGAATCCTAATGAAATAGATTCCTGATCCTTATGAAATAGATCCTATTAATCCCATTTTCAGTCAAAATAGAAACAATTGTGGGATATCTGTGCTTCTTTATTAACCTATCAAATATCAAGCAGTATATCTAATAACTGCCATAATTTTGAAGTAGTGTTGAATGAATAGGATACTTGAGATCTGTGTAATCAGTAATATAATGCGAAAACACCTGTGATTTCTACTGATGGCAAATTACAGCTGCGTCTAACTCTACCAAGGCTTTTGATCACATGCCTCTTAGAGGAAATGTTACATTTCAGTGAGAGGCTACTAAAATAAATTTTGCCACTGAAGTTCACAGACTTTCAGAGTACTAGCCGTGGCTCTCCAGGTTAAGAATCCTGGCACAAGTGACTCTTTTTCATGTTGCCGCATCTTGCAAGTCTCTTTTCTAGCCCTAAAGAAAACCAGACAGGAGCAAAAAGAGGAAAACCAGGCCAATGTCTTACTTTGCAAGGATTCTGACAGAATCTCTCCTCAAATTTTTGCAAAGAAACCAGAACCATGAGAGGGGATGGGGCAGGAACTGTGTTTTCTCTAGGCAGACTCTTCATGGCGCCTGGACTGCAAGAAGTTACTGAAGAGTTTATCGCGCTAAGGATACTCAACCTCTGTAATTCTTCTAATCGTTATTACTTAGGCCTTAAAGGTCCACAGTCAAGCTGAATTCTGTTGAAAGCGTGAAAAAGATACAGGTGGGAGGAAGCTCAGGAGGCACTGAACTTTGACGCCTGCTTACTATAGCCACTACAACGCACTTGTGCAAAACCGTGTCAGATATTGGAAATCATTTTCTTTCCCTTCCTTTGAGGAAATGCGTGTCGCTCACTGGGTATTCTTCTGTCTCTCCTGATGACGACGCGGAGCCAGGGCCACTTAAGACAGGTGCTGCTACGCGAGCCTGGAGATCCCCTCTGGGGGCCCGCGATCCCACCAAGACCCCGGCCAGCCCTTCCTCGCCCCAACCCGGTCCCTGGCGCTCCCGGAGAGGTGGAGGGGCCTCGCCCCAGGAGTGGGGGGGGGGGGGGGGGGGGGGGGGGGGCTGCACTCTCGGCGCTGGAGGCGCAGCCCGCGGCCGGTCTGGGTGGGGAGGGCGGTGACGCCTTTACCTGGAAGCTACACGACCCGGGGGCTCCCGTGTCCCACCCGCGCGAGGGCAGCCCCGACGCGCTCCCGAGGAAGGAGCGGCAGATCCGCGCGAGGGTATCGGCGAGGGCGGCAGGGATGCTCCGCAGCTCCCGGCCGGCCCGGGGGGCGTGTGCTTCGCCAGTTCCTGCTTCCGTTGCGGCGGCAGAAAGTTGGCCGGAGGCGGAGGGGAGGGGGAGGTGGAAGGGCACATTCCTGCCCTGCAACCCGGAGCTGCTTCCCGGCCACTTGGAGCGCGGTCCTCCGGGAGCCCCTCCCCGCGGTGGCTCCAGGCGCCCGGCGATCGCGCACTGCCTGGGAAGCAGCCGGCCGCTGCCACCCCACCCGCCCTGCTGCGGCCCCCGCGAGGGGCGTGGGCGCGACCCGCTGGATTGTCCGCGGGCCTGCAGCGGCGCCCGCTCCTTCCCGAGGCCGCAGGACGCGCGCCCACACCAGAGGAAAGTCAGACGGTGCAAAACGTGTGCCCTGCATTCTGCCTCTGCCTCTGTGTCCCGGACTCGGTCCCCTACCAGAGGGGCAACCTCTGAGGGCAGTTTCTCCCTTCGGGACTTTACACTGCTTTCTATCCGGGGCCTGGCTGTGAGAATCTGCTTTCGATAATTCCAGGCATGGAGGGTCCTCAATTGCAGTTAACAGTTCTGCAGTTAACCCTCACGCGCAGGTCAAGCCTCAACGAAGGCATTCGGATTCTGCCCGGATTTACTGTTTATAAGTATAGATTATAATATAATGGTGCCTGCTATAGTTATTAAAATGTATCCCCTGACATTTAGCATAGTACCTGGTACCTAATAAGTACTCAATAAATATTTAACTAAAATATATTTGTCGAGTGAATGAATGGGAAAGAATAGGGCATAGGTTGCAGAAGTGTGTTTCTGAATCAATGCTTGCTCGCCCACACCTCTGTGTACGTGCAAACAGATGCAATTTTACCAAACCACTGATACTTAACTCGCCAAAGGTTCAGACCTTAGACAACATCTCCACCTGGTCTGTGTGAAGAACTTTCAAACCTAAAGCACTAAGCCATTGTAACTTACTGTGCTGGACACAATACAGCCAACAGCTACGTCCTGGTTTTAACCAAGAGCTATAGGAGGCTATGTTGACTGAGAATCCCTGTGAACAAAGGTTGCCTGAAACTAACTCTACCGGTTGTATCCAGAGGATGACCTCCTCTGGAATTACAATGATGTTGCAAATACTTGGCTTTAAAGGGCTATCAAAGGAAACTCCACAGTGATTTCCCATTGGAGTCATTTTCCTGTTGTAGCAAAAGACTGATGTAAACAATACATTTTATCTCTGCAGATGATGTACTTGAGGGTCTTGCTAGGGAAAGGTCACATTGTTTTAAATCTCCCTTCACAGCATAGTCCTCGCTAGGCACTAATGAGACCTTTCCTTGATTTAGAAGCTTCAGATTTTGGATTTTAAACAATGACCCTGTTATCGTTGAAGTGACATATTATTTTTTCAGTTATGACAGTGAACAGAGGACATTGATGAAAAGAATGATTAAAGAAATTTTTTCCATTGATATGAATTAGGTGTTTACATTAGAAGTAGTATCTCTTTTCATCTCACTGCCTGAAAAGATTCTTGATCCTCTTCTCCTGAGACTTAGAAGTTCCATTTATGTGGAGGCAAATTTTTTTTTTAAAGTATTTTATTCAGAAAACATGGATTAAACACCAGGGAAATTAAAGACCAGTAAGACATTGGATCTACCTTCAAGGTGCTCATAGTGGGGAAGACAATCAAATTAGTTATTGTGTAAAGAATAAATGTAGGGGCGCCTGGGTGGCTCAGTCGGTTAAGCGGCCGACTTCGGCTCAGGTCACGATCTCGCGGTCTGTGAGTTCGAGCCCCGCATCGGGCTCTGTGCTGACAGCTCAGAGCCTGGAGCCTGTTTCAGATTCTGTGTCTCCCTCTCTCTGACCCTCCCTGTTCATGCTCTGTCTCTCTGTGTCTCAAAAATAAATAAACGTTAAAAAAATTAAAAAAAAAAAAGAATAAATGTAATGATAGAAGATGCTAACTCAGGAAGCTCAGAAACGGGATGTATAATCTGGACTTCTGGGAGGAGATAAAAAATTCCATCTTTTTTTGTTTGTTTGTTTTGAGAGAGAAAGCATGGGCGGGAGAGAGGCAGAGAGAGAGAGAGGGGGAGAGAGAATCCCGAGTAGGCTCTACACTCTCAGCCCAGAGCCCGATATGGGGCTCCATCCCACAAACCGTTAGATCCTGACCTGAGCCAAAATCAAGAGTTGGATGCTTAGCTGACTGAGCCACCCAGGCATGCCTCAGTCTTTTTTTTTTTTTTTTTTTCCCAAAGACTTTATTTTTTTTTAGAGCAGTTTTAGGTTCACAGTAAAATTGAGAGGAAGGTTCCCATATACCTCTTGCCCCCACACATGCATAGCCTTCCCCATTATCAACATCCTCTATCAGAGAGGTACATTTCTTACATCTGATGAACCTACACTGACACATCATAAATTACACAAAGTCCATAGCTTGCATATGCTCACTCTTACTGTATTACACTCTGTGGATTTGGACAAATGTATAATGAGGTGTATCCACCACTATAGTATCATACAAAGTATTTTCCTTGCCCTAACTGTCCTTTGTGCTCAGCCTATTCATCCCTCCCCTCTTCACAGCCCCTGGCAATCACTGGTCTTTTTATTGCCACAGTTTTGCCTTTAATAGAATGTCATATAGTTGGAATCATATAGTATGTAGCCTTTATGGATTGGGACCTTTCAGTTAGTAATATGCATTTAAGTTTCCTCCATGTCCTTTCATGGCTTAATAGCTCATTTCTTTGTTTTGTTTTCATTTTTATTTTAATATTTATTTAATATTTATTTTAATGTTTAATGTTTTTATTTTTTAATGTTTATTTTTAAATGTTTACCAGTATTTATTTAATGGTTAATGTTTATTTTTTAATGTTTTATTTAATGTTTAATGTTTATTTATTTTTGAGAGAGAGAGAAACAGAGCACGAGTAGGGGAGAGGCAGAGAGAGAGGGGGACACAGAATCTGAAGCAGGCTCCAGGCTCTACGCTCTCAGCACAGAGCCCGACACAGGGCTTGAACTCAAGAGCCGTGAGATCATGACCTGAGCCAAAGTTGGGTGCTTAAACGACTGAGCCACCCTGGAGCCCAAACAGCTCATTTCTTTTTGGCATTGAATAATAAACATTCCTTTGTCTGGATGTACTGGTCTGTTTATCCTTTCACATACTGAAAGACATCTTGGTTGCTTCCAAGTTTTGGCAGTCATGAATAAAGCTGCTATAAACATCCATGTGTAGGTTTTGTGTGGACATAAGTTAACCTTGAAGGATGAAGTTAAGTTAGCTAGAGGGAGAGAAAAAGTCTGAATATTCCAGGCAGAGAAAATGACATGAGTATCCAGGGAATTTTATCCTGACTGGCACGAAGTCTCCCTGTGTACATAGAGGAATGGAGAAAAAAGGCTGGGGTCGGAGCAAGAAGGTGTTCATGTGCCAAATTTTAAACTTGATCCTGAAGCCATAGGGAGTTATTGAAGGTTTTTATAGGGCATTGGCAGGTCCAAAGAACTTATTAATATTCTAAAAATTCTGTCTGCCAGCCACATGTAGGATGGATTGACGGAGGTAAAGCCAGAGGCCTCCTGTTTTCCAAGAAATTGAAGAAGGGAGGAGGCCCTGAACAGGGTGTGGAGACAGAAGAGAAACTAAGGAGAGAGGCTCTCCAGACTTGTGACTGGTTGGATGCGGCGGTAGAGGTAAGCAGATTTATGGCGTAGGAAACCGGTTGGAGTGCCAGGCAATATAAAGATATAGGAGGAGCAGTCTGGAATGGATAAAAGCATAATGAGTTTCAGAGAATTTGAATCCTGGTTTCATTACTTATTAGCTTCATGATCAAGAATAACCTCCTTAAAAATAAAAAAATAAAAAAAAAACTCCTTAACCTCTGTGTAAAGTCAAGAAAGCATTATCTACGTTATAGGCCCATCATACTGGGCCAATATTAGGAAAGTACTTTATAAACCCCAAAAGCCGGTTCAATTGTTATTTATTATGTATATAGGTCACATAGTTGCTGTTCACGTGGAAATGGTTTTCAAGGTGCTAAAAGGCATCAGTCTCAAATGTCTTCTACCTCTAAAGCCCCTCCAGCAGAATCCTTGAAGTATAAATGCCCAAATCATTTTCTTGCC